GAAACCCGGGTATGAAAAGTGCTTACAGGAAAAACAGATTACAAGATTAACATCTGTTAACATGATCGTTTATCTCTAGCCAAAAATAGGTCAGGTCTTTCTTAAGGAAACACGATTGCTGGCACATGCTTAAATAATAAAATTAAAACGATAAGTTCATAAATTAGGACTGGCGTTTGTTATAATCTGACCTGTGAAAAACATTTTTTAATTTCGAGATCAATGAAAGGTCAAAGTCCCTTTTGAGTGTTGAGAATAACTCTCCACTGAGTCCAGCTCTCGCGGATGACCCCCGCCCCCTTACCCCTAGCTACCTTTCCGCCCCCTCCCCGGATGCTAATTTCCCTTTTCATCCACTGTGGAAGTACTTTGTGTGTGTGTGTGTGTGTGTGTGTGTGTGTGTGTGTGTGTGTATATATATAATATATATATATATGTGTATGTATTTAAATGGCTATCGTCTGATGCCCCCCTCGTTAAAGGCGGCAAACTCCGCGCAGATGGCTAACTTTCAGAGCTCTGCTGTTGTCTTACCATTAAATGAAGCCATAGGGAGGGGGGGGTGGAAAGGGAAACAGCCTTGTGAAGTCTCCCTGCCCCCTGGGTATGAGTGACGGCTCTGCCGCCCAATCCGCAGCGGCTTTCTCCATCCCGGAGGTAATTTGGAGTGTGAGTGTGTGTGCGCGCGCGCGTGCATGCGCCCATGTGTCTGCACGCTGTTAAGTCCGACCAGCCTCGCGTATCCGCAGGCTCTGGATTTGCACGGCTCCGCGCTGTAGACGTGGACAAGCTTTTATCTGAATTTGTGCAGCCCGATGGGCACGCCGCAGTACAAAAGGAGACCCTGCCTCCTCTGGGTGTCCTCTTGTGAAGAACGGGTAAAAGAGGGACTTTTGGATTCAAGTCGAAACCTGCAGAAGGGGAAGAAAGGAGGAGTGATGTGATTATGTTTCTCAGCAATTGGGGGAATCGAAATGTGCGGTTCCTTCCATCTCTGTCCCACGCAGCAGGCCCGCCCCAGCGCACCGGGGGATCGAGTAACGGAGCCCACTCGCCACGCACAAAGCGGACGCAGATCGAGGATTGTTGACATTGGTCTGGGCTCCGTAGAAAAGGGAAGGACAACATGTACCTTCCAACTGCACATTTTATTTTCTCACTGGAAGTTGGTGCTTAGTCCACGGCAGGTTCTAGAATGTGACCAGCTCGTGGTCAGGGAAAGTTCTGCCGCCCACCCGACCGATGGAGGCGGAGCGCCGGCCGCGTCCCCCCCGCTCAGTGGGCACACCCAGGGCCGGAGTGCGTCACGGCCACCCCGCGCTCCGCACCGGCTTAGGGGGCACCACCTTCCCTAGGAGTGTTGGTAGGATGTGTGCGTGGCCCCGACCTGGCCATGTAGCATCTGTGCCAGGGTTAGAGCTGCGCGGCTGCTTCCATCCGGGCCGGGGGGAGATGCCGCAGTGGGCGCGCTGAGGACCCACGGGTGTCCCCCTCCGTCCCCAGGGACCCCTGCAAGGAGGCCCCTGGGAGGGATCCGCCCCGGGCCTAGTCCACGCGTGGTGTGCCGGGCCGCAGGGAGCACCGAGGTCACCCTGAGGGCCCGCGGGCGACCCCAGGTGAGCTTCGTCCTCCCCCTCCGCGAGTCCAGCGCGGTTACGAGGTGGCGTCCGGCCTCGCGTCGCTCGCTCTGGCCGTTTCCACCCCCACCCTGAGTTCCACCCGCGTCTTCACCCCTCCCGCTGCCGTCTCAGTGAGCTCGCGGGTTGTGAGGAACGGGCCGCGGGATTAAATCATCCCTATTTCTGGGCCTCCTCGCGGGGCGGCGCGGGCCCAGGGCGTGGGGGGGAGGTGGGCGGGCGGGTCGGTGGGCTTTACCTGCCCACCCCGGGGGCGGGGGCGGCGGGCTGCGGGCCGCCAGGGGGCGGGCCGGGGGCGGGGCGGCCGGCGTGGAGGGAGGGTCCGGCCGCGCCCCCGCCCCCCGCCCCCGTCATGTGGAGCGGACGTCACTCGTCTGCTCTGTAACCCAAGAAGTGAAAGAGACGGGGACCCACGGCCCAACTTCGCACCGTAACAAAGGCGGGGGTCCGTGCGGCCCGAGGAGGGCTGGCTGGGGGGTGGGGAGCGGGCAGGGGGCGGCGAGGGGGCGGCCGGGTCGGGAAGCGAGGCCTGGATGGGGCGGAGGTCGGCGCACGGCGGAGTCGGGGGTCTGCGCGGGGCGGCCCCGGGGGCGGGGGGCTGCGCGGAGCGCGCTCGGGGGCCCAGGCGAGCGGAGGCCAGGTAATTGGTTTCTATTTTAAACTTCACTTTGTTCTGCGAAGGTGGGGCGGGCAGGCGTGGCCCCGGGGACGATTACATAAGTGTTCACACCTGGTCGGCGGCCCCGGGTGGGCGTGGGCCCTGCGGGCGGCGGCGAGGGGCGCCCGGGACCCGGGGCGCGGGCCGTGCCGGCGGTTACCGCGCAACAAAGGGCAGGGGCTACGCACCCTCTCCGCGCCCCGCGGGGCGCACGGCAGGTCGCCAGAGGACCTGGAGGCGGGGGTCCTACTCAAGGTGCGGCAGGAAGGCACCCCCCGCTGGGCCTGCCCTTCGTTCTTCCCCATCTCGAGCAGAGCCGGTTTACAAACTGGGGCCCCTCCGTCCGGAGGCCGGGTGCCGAGTCCCGCTGCAGCCCTGACCCGAGTAGAAGCAAAAGGGCGCATATTCCCCCAACGGAATCTTCTCCAGACTGTTTTTTAAGCCGCCCTACTAATATGACTGTAGTAATTTGGTTTAGGAATGTAAGGGCTACTTTAAGGCACGCATGCCATTTGATCGGATACTTTCTATTGCCTCGTGAAAAAAGAGCTCGTTTTCTCGTTTTTCCTCCCTCATTTTCTCCTGCATTCTTCGTGGCTGTGTCAAAGTAGCTGCGTTATTTATGTTTACATAGTCCGACCAGAATTCAGTGCTGTGCCTGAATCGCTGTTTGCCCCTCTTGGCAGTGTTGGAGGGAATGGAGGGAGCTGCCGGTGTGGCGCGGCCTGAGAGTTTGGTTACGGGAGGGCGGCTTCGATTTCCCCGAGTGGCTCTCCAGCCGGCCGGCCGAATGGGCCCTGGGAGGCACGGAGCTCTGAGCAGGACCCAAGGATTTAGGTAATAGAATTAGAATTTTGAAGTGCTAAGATACAATCCTAGGCCTTATCTAATATTTTTCTTAGTTCAGAGCACTAACATTAAAAAAGAAATAATTCGAAGGGGTGTGTAATACAGCTACCAGGAATGGGAATGCCTCTAAAATGAAACAAAACAGCGAAGTAGTGTGCTCTGTAGGTGTGCTGCGGAGCCGCGGAAAGAGGAGCGCTCCTTTTAATTTCTGAAAGCTTTTGTTTGTCACAGCCCTCTTTCCAAAAGGCTCAGTGTGCTGACACTTAGACTGGAGCAAGAACTTTAACTTGGGGACTGTAACTGATGCTGGTCGCTGATGACCTGAGGACAGGTTAAGTCCCCGGTGTTAATCCTATTGTTATTTGTAAACCACCTTCACAATTGGCTGGCTGGCTGAGAGGTGAAGGCTTGCCTGGCACCTGGAAGTCCTGCCTGTCTAACTTTGTGGGACGTTGTCAGAGACCAACATGGAGTGAATGGAATGAGAGGGGTTTCGAGAGCAGGTCGGTGCCACAGGCGCCTTGTCTCCTGCCCCGGAAGTGAAACTGTTCCATCATTTACTTCTACATGGAGATCCTTGAATTTTATAGGGGAATCAACAATTATGTGAAAAAGAGGAGACGTCTTTAAAGCATACTTCAAAAAAAGGTACATTCTGACAGACCGGTTTCAGTTGGGCCAAGTCGGGGGGGAAAAAAAAGATAATGTGATGTAGGGATTTAAGTAGAGTTCAGTCATGGATTGTTCTCGAAAAACCAGTACTCACAGTTTATTGGGTTATTGTGGATTTTTATTCATTTTCCAGGGTATGTATTGGTCTTACTCATAATTTACCAGAAGGAATCTTTTAAAAAGAATTTTGTGGGAGTGACTTTAAGTCAGACTGGAGATTGTGTTTAGAGTTTCAACTGCATTAATACCTTAATGCCGCAGAAATAGGAAACTGAAATGTAAGCCGATTACGGTCAGCAGAAAGAAGCTTGTCCAATCTTGTGTGCTTTCCCTATATAATAGGCTTGCTTTAAGTGGTCAAGATACTACATTATTTTGGTTTTTATTCCATTTTTCATATTGGAGAAAGAAAAGGGTATGGGTTAATCATATAACTAAAAGTGGTGTTTTGCTTCTAATGTAGCTAGATTTCTGAGTAAAGCGTTAAATGTGCTCCTGGGACAGGTAACTTTTCCACCGGGTTTGATGGCCAGATTTCACTGGCGGTATTTAAACTTTTCCAGTAAGAGGCATAGATGTAAGCAGAATTAATAGAACTAAGGAAGAAAGCAGCAGAAAGTTACACTTACTCGATTAGCTATCTGCCTTATAAATATTTGAACACAGAAGTAACATTCCTTCAAAAGCAGACATCTTACATGCTGTAAATGTTTACACATTTTAGCACTTGGATAGAGCAATTCTGACACAATCAATTCTTTCAAAAATGCATCCCTTGGCTGCCCTAACCTCCTCCCCCTCAAGAGTTCTAGAGGCTGTGGGAAAAGTTGAGTTAACGCTCCTCTTACAGAATGTCATCTAGCAAATGCTAGAAGGCCTGGGTGCTCCGCTGTAGAGCCTGGTGGCTGCCAGCGGCCATCCCTCCTCTGCTACACTGGCTGCCAGATGGCCCCGGCGCCTACACCTTCCTTGGCTTGCTGCCACTTGGCACCACCTTTGACCTTTGCTCTCAGAATCATTAATGTCTAAACATGAAGACCTGAGTGTGTGACTGTCTTGAGTTCCCAGATCCTTACTGTGTTGGTAGGAAGCCCCATCTCACTTGGATTAGGATTTTTCAAGTGAGTTGCAGGGCTAGGAGGTTAGTTTGTTCCGAACTCTGATCTGGTGGTGGTAGGAACACATCTCTGAGTGTTTTGGGTGGGGGTGGGGGGGCCGGGAGAGAGGGAGGGAGAGAAGGCTGAAACGTGGGTGCAGAGGGCGTCTGTGGCTCCCAGTCCGTTTCCCCGGTAGTGTGGGTGGTAGAATTATTCCTCACTTGTTCTGTGTCAGGCTGGGCACTGACTGGTGGTAGCCACCTGTGTGTCTGTGTCTCCCTTTGTGGCTGTCACCCCAGTCTTCCACCCGTGGCCAGTAGGATGTTGGCATGTTAAAGGTTTGAATGTATGTCTTGGTGTCACAAGGGTGGCAGCATTTCTGCCTTACTTCTCTCGGGTCTCAGGAGCAAGTGGATCTGTGGTCGGGAGGTGGGGCACTTCACTCATGCACACGGCAGGGAGTGCTCCTTATGGGGCTCCAGCTACGAGTATCTTAGAGTTTCAAGAATATTGGCAAATTATCACAGACCTCTTTTAAGAAAAGAGTCACATCAAATGCTTATGAAGAATTTAGGAAAAAAATGAACCTTATGGGGAGAATAAAGAAAAATTTTAACTACGACTTTAAAATGTCTCACCCAGATCATTAAAAAATCTGTTTTAAAATCAGTTTTCTTCCAAGGGCTGTCTTAGGGCTCTGACTTAAATGGCTGTGGGAAGGATACATACACAGGCACTATGAACGCACTGCTTATTTGAAATTAGACCGGACTAAGGTATATCGAGTGTATTTTAGCTGGACTGGTAAAAATTAGCAGTTGCAACTGTCTGTTTTGTATATTCTTTATCCCTTGCATCTGGCTGCACGTGATTTGAACAGCTGAAGCCTTTCCTTCCAAAGCTTGAGCTGGCTGTCATATTTATGTCCTGTATGAAATGTTTTCCAGTGGCATACATTCATACTGTAAAGAAGTGTAATTTTGTGGCTCTCAACATTCCTTAAAAGTAGTTTTCCAAAAAAAAGATCTGGCATTTAGTCTTCAGTTTAACTGGTGCTGAAAACTACAAAGCAAGAGTGATTAGAAATGCAAGTATTTTTAGAAGGGAAACATGTAAATGTATGTGAAGTAATGAGTAAAACACCACACAGGAGAATAGGGGAAAAAAAACCACTTAAAAGGCAGCTACATGGAGTTTTGATGCATTTTACTGTTTATTGCAAATATGATGCTTTCATTCTGGTAGATTTTCTCTCTCTGGTTGTTTTTTTTATTGGTTAGGAGTTTAATCCAGTTGTTATGTTCTCAGAATTTACTGTAAAGAGAGGTGTCATATAGGATTCTGAAGCTGAGACTGTTCTTCAGCTGAGTGTTGAAAATAGGATGAGATATTAATGTGTTTTATTTTAAAGACACAATTAACTGGTGTTTTACCCCTTCAAAAGCAGGTAGACTTAGCTCATCATTCCTGGCCCCAGGGAGTTGCTGATGTCAGCTCGCCTTTGGATACAGCTGCTATTTTCTTGCTCATTTAGGGGATGGTGAGCAGAGGCAAATATGTGGTGTTAGCTTTCAGGCCACAGTTAGGGGGGGGACTCTTCAACACTGAGTTTCTCCGTTAAAACTCTGTAGTTTTTTCTTAATGCTAAGAATTAAATTTTCAGCATTTTTTAGGAATGAGAAACCCTTGCCACCTCTTCCCAT